TTGATTACGCTAAACGTCAGTGGCTGTGGTGTAAAAAAAGCAGCCTAGCAATTAATTGTGCACCATAACCAGCAGGATTTTAGTATGTTAACAAAGAAACAGAACCAGCCAAGGGCACATTTAAAGGAACATCATGTGTCATAAAAATAAGCACCAAAGCATGGAACACTACATTTGAGTCAAGAAAAAAGGATGAAACGTTTTCAGTTTCAGGTAATACAAATGCACAATTTAAAAATGTCAAAATAAATAAGCAAAACAAAAATCTTTAATGTGCATTTTGCTTCTTTTTCATGAAACAACAAACTATAGGTTAAAAGTGATTATGTCAAATGTTTTCAAATAGTTTTCATGCATTTATACATACTGTATGTTTGTACACAAGGCACAGACACTGTGTTGAGTATTTGCATTGCAAGCATTGCTGTGGGCCTTAAGACAACCCTTAATAATTGCACAAACCAATGAAATAACACAATTTAATTAACCCAGAGTCCAAAGCTTTGATACGTAAATAAGAGATGGCTCCTGCATCTTCCATTTCTTAAAAAATAGATATGTACAGTACAAAATAGACAAAATTCCCAAACCATTCCTGCAACAGATATTTTAAGCAACATGTGTTAAGCACACAATAACAGACCCCTAATAGAGATCAGTTTGGTGAGAACAGAGATACCGTCTATTTTCTCCCCCTCTCCCTCAGTATTTAAACAGCAGCTTTCTATTTCAGCTGCTTGGCTAGATGATAAGTGCACTGAAAGATCTGAGTCTGGCTTTTTGTTTGTTTAAAGGTGCTGGTTAACTCCTTTTGCCAAAAACTAAACAGCACTACGTCAGCTGTATATTCTACTCACAGCTGCAAGCTAAACGCAATTAATAGCTGATTGTGCAAACGGACACTTTTCTCCAATGTGGCTTTCTAATTCTCTGACATCGACGGGCCAATAGCTGGATAGCAGAAACTTCTACCTTGACATCTGTCTAATGGGCGGTCAAGCAAATCCCATCTGAGTGGCGAAAGCGAAGGACAGAGCGCAGAACTCCGGAAGCACAGCCGTCTTTCCTTGGGCTGTATTTAATAAAGCTAAAAGGCAGACAAGGGACCCTTCAGAGGATCCTTACAACCTAGCTGGTGTTTTCAGGAGAAGTGCTACAGCGGGGTATACTGCTATTGTTGCCTGTACTGCTAGCAGCACTTGTACTGTCACTGCTGGTACTAGCTGTGGCATTTTCTCGGCTGCGCTGTCGTTCTCTGTGCAGCTCGTCCCACTTGGCTCTGTTGGCACTCATGACGTCAAGCACTGGCTGCAGCTTGGGGTTCACCTTTACTAGAGCCTACAGGGGAGAAACAAGCATTTAGAGCAGAATTAAACAGGAATACAAGCTATGGTGAGGTGAGAATCTTCGTTGTGGAATAAAGCCGGTTACAAACGGTGGCAATGGGCTTTTCAAAATGGAAAACAAAAGAGCTACCCACACTATGAAAACTGGCTCAGCAGGCTAACAAAGAGGCACAGAGCACAAATGAAAGGTGAAATTACATAGAGCAAGATTAACATTGTGGGCCAAGAAGTTTTGTTAGATAAGGTCAACAAGACTTGCAAACAAAAGCCTTCTGTTTTTAGAACCTCTCTCGTAGAAAAAGCAACTTCATATAATTTACTGTGGTAGGCAAATTGCAATGAAGGTTGTAAGGGAGAATTAAAATATGGGAGGCAAACAAAATAGAAGTATACAGAAGAATAGGAAGGCACAGCAAATCAAAGGACATCCAAGATACACACATGGTAAAACAATGAGAGACCTGCAAAAATATGGTACAAAGTTACCGCTGTAATCACTGTTATCTCTGAAGAGCTGCCCTTGTCGTGTCAGTACCTTTTTTTTGTATAGATTCTGCTGAATATGTTCTTATCATCCCTTTCACTGAACAGAGAGCTTTACTAGTCAAAGAATTATAAAGTGATTATTAAAGTGATGAGTTACAATTTATAATACTGATAAAATCATTTATTTTTTCTCCAGAAATTCTGGTCTAATCCACACATACTTGTTTGATTTCTTCACTTTTGTCTTTGTGTGTAATAAGAACCAAACAGCAACCTTAGTGAGAATGCAATCACTCTTCTAATTTTGTTTTCTGTTTTTCTTGCCTCTTTTTGCCAATTAAGCCTCTCTAATATCCTTTCTTTCATAAAGTAATTGGCAAATTATCTCAAAAGCAATATGGCTGTTTTTATTTGTTTGCTGCAAAGCTGGCAGCTTCTCTTAGAGGCAACTGAATAACTGTTGAGAGCATTTGTCAGGACTGCTAATTAACATACATTTGATCAACTCTAGCCAATTTGGAGGTGATTCCCACAACACAAACAAAATTACAAAATAAAACAAAACATATTCTTCAACAATATTATTCAAGAATATTATGAGGGGACCTGAAAACTTCAAAGATAGAGACAATCAAGCCAATAGATTTCTTATGAATCAATAGTGAAACACAATCCAGTGGAATCTAGGGGGAAGTGCATTTAAAACTGAGAAGAGGAGGCACTTCTTTACACAACGAGAAGTGGGAGTGTGGAACTAGCTATATTGTTGAAGCTTCTTTCAAGAAATGGCTGGATGAGATCCTTGGCTCAATAACTATCCATCAATTCATCCATTTTCTTGGCATTTCTTCTAATTCCATGTCACAGGGGAGCCGAAGCCTATCCCAGCTAGTTACGAGCGTAAGGCTGTGTACACCGTGGATGGGACACCAGTCCATAACCGGGCTACAGACGCAAACATAACCATGTGCACACCCACACCAGAATTTTACCAGAAGCCAATTAACCTACCAGTATTTCTTTAGACTATGGGATGAAACTGAAGAAACTGGAAGAAACCCACACGAAAAAGGGGAGAACATACAAACTCCACATAGATACCACCCCAGGTCCAGAATTGAACCCAGTTCCCCAGAAAGGTGATGAAGTGATGCTAACCTCAATGCCACTATGCCAGTTAAGGATCAATTGTTATTTTTTAGAAGCTGAAATGTTTAATAATAAAGCATTTGTTATAAGAGGTTATGGTATCATTTATACTTTAGGAGGATCTGTGTTAAATCAAAAAAACTGCATAAATTAGGAACAACCATGCTGTATATTCATTATTATTCATGAATGAAGCAGAGGGTTTTTGATTAACACTAGGTTTCTTTTCCTTCTATAAATAAATGACTCACTGTTTTTTATTTCAATATTTTTTATCAACGGTATGGTTTAGGATGACAAGTTTAGTTTCAATATAAAATGAGAACTTGAAATTAAAGACAGAAAGCACCGTAGATCAACCAGACAAATAATACAGAAATTTTAATGACTGACAGTTTGTGCTTCTTGCAATTTTTGCTGCCTTTTTTCATTGCGCTTTGTAAGTCTGTATAAAATCCCATTTGCCAGATGATACCAACTCTCTCTCAATGCATGATCCACACAATAAGGCAAAGCTTAATATTTCTTACTAACTCTCACTAGACTTACATAACCTCATTAACATGACGGCAGTCGCCTAAAGCTAATGCTTGCTGCAGTATTCTCAGCTTGCATCTTCTCTGTTAAAAGCAGGCCAATAAGAGCAAAAATATGAGGTAAAGAGAAAGAGAAAATATTCCCAAGAGACATTCTGCTAGAAGCTAAACCAGGTATTTTTTTCCCTCTCTCAAGAGTGTATTTGCCTCTCCATTATGAAGCATTCTGAATTCATTCTTGCAGTGCTGCAGTCAGCTTGCTATTGCTAGCCATACTGTATACAGTATAAACTGTACAGCATATACAGTGTACAGGCTGCTGTAATACTATAATTATAAGAATCCTGTATCATTAAATGAAGACATCACAATTACACCGCAAACTATAGATAACAGAGTTTGTACGTCATCCTGCAGTCTTTGCAGCAATGAAAAAATATGTATGAAGATATAGGGTTTTCATACCTTTCTGCCAATAATGCCAAATGCTTTTAATCTAAAAAGATATTATACCCACGTCATAAATGTGGATTATACACATGAAAATTAATTTAGCATCTTTAACCCATGAGGAGAACTGCTGACCACTACACCCAGAGCTTAAAATTTTATGAAAATACGGAAAAAAAACTTACTAGCCTCTTGGAAACAGATCAACTTCTTATAATACATTAACACTGATTTTTGAAAGGCTCTTGTGAATGTACAGTATGTACATACTGTAACATAAGCTAACCTGCCTGCAAGCGAAACATTTCTTGAGTACCATAAGCGATATTGCTCTCATTTACAGGAGTCATGTACATCTTTCATTATAGCTGTATGCAGTAGACATACAGTAAGTGTGACATGTTCTAAGCAACCAGTCAAGAGACATTCAAAATCCTATTAAGAGAAATGTACAGAGCTTCCCAAGTGACACAGTATCTGTAAACAAATTATTCCACATGAATATGAAGTTTCCCCACTTATTGAACGATTAGGGTAAATACAAAAGTTTCAAAATGACTATTTTATAACATGACATGCCCAAATTTAAGTGAATAGTTTAGCTCTGGGCTCTTAAGAAAGAGCAGTTTTAGAACTAATACATCATAACATTGTACACTGTCAACCTTGTGTCTAAATATTTGTGAAAATTAGTTCAATTTGTTAATCCTCTGTAATTTCTTAACCCTTAAGGTAGCACATTTTGAAATTCATGAAGCACCTATAGAGATAGTAAAAATTAACAATTCCTTATACTTATATAACACTGTAGCACAGCAGGTGTTGGGAGCACCAAGGGGAAGGGTCATTTCATTTAGGCCAGTCACATTCCTCAAATTCTCACAAGGAAATCACTGAATTGGCTGCACCTGGAATCTCTAGCTTCCTATAAAAGCAGCTCCTGTGGTCTTTTACACAGACCTTCATGGTTAAGAAGAACATTTGAAGAAAGATATGGTAGTTAGAGAGAGCTTCTTGTACAATGAATCATAGAAAGATTATAGTGGGGGGTAATATTGGTAGCAGCCTTGGTTGTTTTCCGGGTTAGGGCACTGGTAATTAAGAAAGTGGTTAATGAGTGCACCTGGCCAACCGGAATCAACCAAGTGAGGTTCTTGCCACTGCTATCTGGGGAGTTGTACAGTTACAGTTACAGCTCATGTGGGGAAAACCTCTTGCCAACCTATCTGAAAGGGGATCTTTCACAAATGCTTTTCTGGGCACTCCACTCAAAGTGCTTTATAGTTAATGGGGACTCCCCTCCACCACACTAATGGGAGGCATCCACCTGGATGTTGCAACAGGGGCCAAAGTCCATCAGTGAGGAGGAGAACAGAGTGTTGAAGCCAATTCATAGATGGGGAGTATTAGGAGGCTGTGATTGGGGAGAAGGCCAATGGGAAATCTGGGGATTTTTAATGATTTCCCTGGGGTTAATAATGATTGCAGAGAGTCAAGATCCTGGTTTTGTCACATCAGAAGGATGGTGCCTTTTTACAGTATAGTGTCCTTGTTGCAATACTAGGGCATTGGGACCTCCATAGGCTGTAGGGTGAGCGCCCCCTACTGATCCCATTAACACATGTTCCAGCAGCAACCTTAGCTTTTCTCAGGTGGTCTTCCATCCAGGTTCATGCCTGTTTAGCTTCAGTAGGTTGCCAGTTGTGAGCTGCAGTTGTGGCGAGGATGCATATTTAGTTGGCTGAAGCTGTTCATTAGATCATTACCAGGTCTGCATTACCTAAGTATACATTTTACCCTTTTAGACAAATCTTGGGAGCTGTTCTTTTCCTTTCTAAAGTGTTACATGTTGAGTTAACATACAATAAAAACAATGACTATTAAAAATTATACTCACAAGGGTATAAATCATATTTTTTGTTTTAAAATAAAATGTTCGGGAACGGTGCTCTGCCAGATCAGCTTAGTATATAAAAAGACTGATCCGATCTTTGAATCTTTACCAATATTTTCTTGACATGGGCTATTCAAAATGGAAAACGGGGAGTCTGACAGCTTAAGGATCAGGGGTGTGAACGTGAGTGGGTTTTTGGAGAAAGTTTAAATTTCTCGGAAGACTCTACTGGTTAGAAATGCACAGGCATTTGAAGTGAAATAGTAGGCACTCCAGGACACAAATAGATTTGTTTCTCTTTTTGGATTCATTTTGATAAAACACTGAAGATACAATCAATAATCAATTACTGAAGGAACTCTATTCATGAATATTCCAAATCATAAACTGTCAGTTATAGTATTTTATGCCTAAAATCCAAGCAAACTATAAGCTTTTCCTTACTTATTTTAGAAGCTGTTCCTCAAGTTATACTTAGCATAGGTCTGTACCTAACTCATGAGACCTACAGTACATTTGATTTACAGTATAGAGAAAATTCACAAGAATCATTAGACAAAATACTGTGATGTAAAAACACGATTAATATCAATGTGGATTGTGAGTCTTCTGTTGCTTTAACAGACTGCCTTAAAAATCATTTAGAAATTCCCCCCTTTCTGAAGTAACAACAACTGATAGCATTTAAAATATCTGATGTATTAACTTAAAGCATTCTAGTTTACTACAATATGTAAGAGTTTTGCAGGCCAGAATATAAGAGTATATATACTGTACACTGTTCTGGTCTGGACACTCTCATTCACAGGTAAATCTGTTATCTGTTAACCTTTCTGTTAAACAGCAACCAATGATGGCGATTAGTATCAAAAGTGGAGTTAAAAATTTAACTAAACTTGTGTAACAGTTATACTTTTAATAAAATGCTGTCCCAATGATTAATTGTGTCTCATTCTATCTCCTTGTACAAAATGGACCCAAGAATCTTTTCTCATGTGTATCCTTCTGATCTCTTTGGGCAAAGTGTGCTGGAGTACTACAGTATATTCCATAACAACATCACACTCTTAGGGCTAACAGCCACTGGCATAGACAGCTCAAAAGAGAAGCTGCAGTTCCTTTGTAGATGAGTAGTTGTGAACATCCACAGACTTAAATTGCACCCACAATGAGTCACAGCATCACAACTCTGCTATAGGAAATGGCCAAGTGAACATTTGTTCTTTGTGAATGTGAACTATTCCAGATCATTTTTCTGATAGCCTCCCAGTAAACAACTTTCTGAGGCATTCCTGTTGACAAGGTTTACTGATTTTACTCTAAGTGTAACTCTTCCACAAACTCTGCATAAATATAGACACAAAAGCCCTAACTTTTCTCCTATCGCAACACTTCTTGGATGTCTTTTACCTCTCTTTCCTCCTTCTCTTCATATCTCACTAAATATATCCCAACAGCAGGTCAGTCTACCTCCAGCAGTGATTGCAGCTACAGAACCACATACCAGTGTTTCCAGCGAACGCCCACAGACATCTGTAGAGATGTGGAACTACTCAGTGGTCCTTTTTTAATATGAAATCTGGAAATATCTGTTATTTAGGGCAACTTCCCGCCGCCATAATTTAATTCCCTGTTGTTGTTACTTTTAAACCATCAGCCACATCTACACATCACTGAGGCTGTCTGAATTTACACAACAGCCAGGTTGGCTTTTGCCTTCACAGAGGCATCAGACGTACATGCCTCAACACTATTGCTTCTTGTAAGGTCACTTATATCAGACTTTCTTCCCATTCTCTAATATTGTATTTATTTATACAGTACGCGTGTACAGCATGTATGCAACTGCATGCAGTCTTTCTCTGATCTTCCTTACTGTGCATCAGAACTCCAGTACAGTTCATAGTCTGGGAAAGTGAAAGATCTTAATGGGTATCTGGAGGGCTTTGAAGAAGGGAGGTTGCATAACACCAGATTAATATTCTACACCATGCTGACAAGCAGAAGAAATAGATCTGTAGGATCTTCTTCCTCCCACATACAAAACCAAAACCCCCTGTGAAGTTCTGCTTCACTCAAGGCTTTATCTTTTTTTAATTGGTTATATTATGACTTAACAGGACCCTGTTATGAACAATGAAATTCACATCATACTGCAATTTACTGGAACATTCTTATATTAAGCTTGAGTCTGTTGACTTAAAAAAGTCACTATTTTCCACACTTTTCATTCCAACAGACAGAAATCAAAACAAACACAGCAAAAAATAAGATACATAATATGTGCTTTTTTTCTTATAGACTAGGTATCAATTACACAAACTGAACGTACACTGTACAAGAATCCAGGCCTTGTCTATAGAGTAGAATAACTGCTCAATTACAAACAAGTCCTGTATTCTTAACAAATGTAAGGAAAAGAAGGAATTTATTATTTTAGAAAGAGTTATAAATACAAATGAAAATAATATATATATAATATACATACAGTAATTTCCTTCCGATTTCACAAAGTGTTTAAATAGCAAAAATAAATAAGCTGAATACCTAATCTTCCTTGTAATCAGTACAATAAAATCTGGTACTTTCATTCATAACAAATCTAAATCAATACACTCAGCATAGATCACGACTAAAGGAAGTCCACCCACACAGTTAACGCTCAATACAGCTCCAGCTGTAAGAGGTAGGATGTGCTCAGGAGAAGCTACTGGACTTCACAGCTATTTCTTTATTTCATTGTTCTGACTGGGAGAGAAATAGTTATCCCTGCACAGGGGCAAGCCTCCCCTCACTTTGCAAAGTACCTTGTGCAGTTAAGACAGCCGAAGGAGAGTTTCGCATAACTAGAGTAAACCCTTGCAGAGGCCCATCTTGAGAACGGCAGAAAAGCCAAGCTGCACTCCCACTGCTACCTTATTCTCTAAGCAACAGCTGCTGATGTGCTCCTGACCTCAATTCAAAGTCAATACGCTTCATTCTCACAGCAGGGCTCTTTGTTGGAGTTCATCTATTGTGCTGCCATGGGCTCTGCATTACACTGAGAGACACAGGGAGGGAGGATGTGATTGTGGGTTGGGAGGTGGAGGTTAAGACTAACGTCATCAGCTAGGCATCTGCAAGGCCAAACTCATAAATGCTCTTTTTTTTTTAAAATAATTCGAAGGCATACATACCACATATGAATCAGGACACCCTCATTTAAAGAACCAAAAGTTGAATTATCTGTGGCATTATTTACTTGCAATTATTGATGTTTGAAAGGAGTACCTGGCGTGCTAGTTTTATGCATTGAGCTACTCTATTTGTTTTGAACTACAATTACGGGTTTTTTAGAAATATTTCTTCAGAAAAGATCCAGGAAAAAAATATGTTTAGCCAGTCTGCAAATATTGCATCTTTTTTTACGGCTATTGTTGTCATTAACTGTGAGGACTGAGTTTAAATTTTGTCTATTAAAAAACAAAACAGCCATAAAATAGCATTCATACAGCTTGATATTTGTCAGACATATTATAAAGGAATTACAAACATTTGACAACATTTTATAATGTCAATGCTACATACAATACCTACAGCATACATATTATTTTTCAATGTGATCAATGTATTCTGAGATCATCCAGTTTAAATGTCATATTACAGGATGTATCCGTTGTTGTCTCACTAAATCTAATCTTGCTAAATCAAATACACATTAATGATAAATAGCTTAAGCCAACAACATGCATAACAGTACCCAGAAACAAGCTGTGTGCAGTGACCTATGAAGAAAGCATGTGAAGAATTCAGATGTAACTGATGGAGCTGTCATCAAGTCATGACAGAGTACTTAAATGTCACCCAAAGCCTGAGAAAGTCTATAGCTAGTTCTGTCATGAGCAGTCTAGCATTTCTGAAGATGTATGTAAGAATGGCATTTATACTGTGCAAGTGTGTCTTTAGCGAGTTATCACATCATCTTTTAATTACAACAAAATTCAGCTTCCAGTGGAATATCTAAGGTGTCTTGTTTCAATAGCCATTGAATTTTTACTTGGTAAATCTTTTTTTTTTAAATCACTGCCTATAGAAAGGCTAGACTCAGACCTATACAATCTTATACACTGGGCCTCTCAAGGACTAATGCTAGAGACTACGCAAGAGAGGTGACAAAGGAAAAAAGGAGTAGGAAACATTGAAAAAGCTGTAAGAAAGGCTCTTTTCTTTTATTGTGTGCGCAAAGCCTGAATATTAGCATGGTGTAGAAGTCCTTGAGAATTACCTCATATAAAGGCGAGCAGATCACATCAATCCACTCCAGCTGGAGGCCAGGCAGCTCATCTTTCCTGTTCCGATCGAAAATGGCCTGAAACAAAAACATAATTTCATGCTTTACTACACATCGATATTTTAAATATTCATCCCCATGAAATACACATCAGGCAAATAAAACAAGACACTGGTGCTATTCACAATTCAACACTTGCTGTTGTTATTTTTTTAATTATCAGAAAGCAATAAGCTATATACAATATACATTACTTTCCAGTACTGATACTCTTTTCATTCATGAAAATTTGCCTCAATGTTGAACTGTTCATGGAACTGTTCTGAATTTACTGTTTCTTTTATATGTTGTCCTCTGGACCTGGTGAAGGCTAAAAGGGCTGTGCTTTAGAGATAGTTTACACTGGGATTAGATGTGTTTGTAACACCCACGTATATAACTTGATTGGCACCAGTTCCAAACCTGAGGCTAATGCACTACTTCTAAACAAAAAGAAAAGCAACACTAGGAGGAAAAATGAGTAAGCATGACAAAGTAATTACCAGAGAAATCTATATTTTACACAAACAACACATTACTATAGTTGAACCTTTCAATTTTTTTAAATGTCGGAAACAGTAAAAATAAAGACATTCAGTTTCACATTGGGGGTAAAAAAAATCCATGGCATTGTTTATATCAAACCAAAACAATTTATAACATAATTGTTTTTCTTCTGAGGAAAGGAAGCTAAAACAATATAAGTGCATTTCATTGAACACTTTAACTGGTAGCCAAAGGCACACAGCTTCCAAGATAGCAAAAATAATCACATTCAATTTAACTTGTGCAGCAGCTAGCTCTTTTGGAAAGCTCCTAAAGGCAACTTGAGCAGTCTGTATTTATAGTCATTAATTCAATGGGTCTCACACAGGGAGAATAAACCATATCCTTCTAGGTCACACCAAATGATGCAGAGTTTTTGTTCATTCTTAAAATGCTGCAGGCACTCCATAAAGAGCATCGACACAAAGATACACTGGATAAAGTTTAAGACAAAGCAATAAGAAATGATACACCAGCAGCCTGAATATATGAACCCTGGAGCCCAAAATATGAAGTCTAGATTTACACTTACTCACAACACCTTGGTCATATTTAGCTGTGTCACTATGCATGCCCAGTGAGTTACCAATTTATTTGTAAAAATATACTGTATAACAATCAAAATACCATTTACACTGTAAATTTAAGAGGGGTAGCATAAACATTTTCTGATACAACAAAAAATTGGGGTAGTTTGTTGAAACGCCTTGAGGACTTAACTTGATATTTGTAGTTGCAAACTCAACAAAAAAGACTTGGAAGGACTGCTGAGGCAGATGTCTCTGTTGCAAGGGATTTTTTTCATTTAAGAATGCCACTTTCTGTTTTAAAACAACATGGAATAGTCGGATACGTTCTTAATTCTAAGTGCACTATTGAAAAAGTTTCAGAGTAAGAGAGAGGAAGAAAGGGGCACTTGACTCCACATGTGTTGTGCAGAGGAAGTATCCTGGATTTTTATGAAAAATTCTAGGAGTTAAAAGGTGGAGAGATTTTCAGATGACGAGTGTGAGAGGACAGCATTGAAATCAAACTCACCGAAGGAGTGAGTTTCAGTTCAGATCTCTCTCTGTCTCCTTGTTCAAAGAATTCACTGGTTACAAGCTCAGCCACCTAACAGAAATAGAAATAGATTGGGGTTTTGTTCAGCTCTACTTGACCAGGAAAACAAATAGTTTTCTGTTAAATACAGTATACACAATAATGTAATCAAATACAGAAATCAGAAAATACATCATAGCTGAAGCAGAAAGTTTTAATCTTTATTAAACCTAAATTGCTTTCATGAGAAATGTTAAGTAAATCAGCAGTCTAGTTCCTTTCTCAACATGTGAATATTTAACTTAGGGTGGTGTAATTTGTGATTCACAGGGATCTATACAAAGACAACTGCTCTTCTTAATTTATATCAATCTAGATTCAAGTTTGCAGATGATCCCAAATTAGGTGAATTAGCAAACACTTGAAGCAGCCAGTGAAAATAAAAAGTGTTAAGATAAAATTCAAGACTGGGCAAACTGCATAGACAATTGCATGGTTAGCATGCAGGAAGCCAAGCCATAGACCTATAAAAACAAATTGGGAAACACTGAGCTAGAACAGGCTGCTTATTGAGAAAGACTTAGACTTAGGTGTTTATGTTGACAATCATTTATGTTTTCTAGACAATGTGGAAACCAATTAAAAAGGTAAGGAAAAATGTAGTAAAGCTAAAAGCATAGAATTTATATCAAGGAATTTTTAATTTGAATGTTGTGAACACTTTTGGTCAACACGTTACAGTGTAAAAAAAAATAGTTTTGGAATCAGTCCAGAGAAGAGAAAGCAGATACATTCAGGGCTAAACAGTATGTCCTACACTGCCAGGCTGAAGGAACTGGACCTGTACAGTTTTCAACAGAGTGGATTATGAGCGGACCTGATACAAGTATTCAAAATCCTCAAACCCATAGGAGTTCTTCATAATGATCAGTGAAAATGACCCAGAGGATGTAAATGGAAATGTATTGAAAACCTAGAACAAGAATCCATATTTTTGGTGGATGAGAACAGCTGGATGACATCCTCCAATCAATCTGTAACTATTAAACAGGCTAGATTGGCAAAATGGTTTTCTCTTGTTTGCAACTGTTCAATTGTTCTTGGTATTTTCTACACATAATTCCTTACACTTATATAGCGCTTTTCTGGACACTCCACTCAAAGCACTTTACAGGTAATGGGGACTCCCTTCCACCACCACCAATATGCGCCAGTACACTCACCACACACATCAGTGGGGAGGAGTTTTGAAGCCAATTCATAGAAGGGGATTATTAGAAGGCCATGATCTGTGAAATGCAGATGGGAAATTTGACTAGGACACTGGGGTAGCACCCCTATTCTTTTTGAGAAACACCCTGGGATTCTTAATGACCAGAGTCAGGACCTTGGTTTTGTGTCTCATCTGAAGGACATCTCCATCACTATAGTGGAGTATTAGCACCCTCACAGACTGCAGGATGAGTGCCCCCTACCGGCCCTACTAACACCTCTTCCAGCAGCAATCTTTCTTTTTTATTATATATATTTACATTTTTATAATAATACTAATAGTAATGTTCTTTAGGTTTGAACCAGTACATTGTGTATTCATGATGTAGATTATTGCACAGAATAAGAAAGATTGATGCAACTGCATGATGAGGAAGGAATCTTTCATTCAATTTACTCATTATAGCCATTGTTAAAAAGAAAAAGAAAAGGAGGAAAAGTAAAGGAAGAAATAAGAAGACAAACAAGTAAATTCTCCCCAGCTGGGGGGGGGGGCAGAGTAACTCAGAGGGATTTACATATGTGATTTCTGCACAGCATGTTCATGAGACTATGTGGATTGCAATGTCTTCGCATGTGCTGTATGCAACATACTACCTTTCTTGAAATCTCCCAGGGCTTTGTTACAGCACCAAGGTCGCATGCCGTCATCAGCATTGACCTGCAAAGCACCAAATATGGTCATAGTTAACCACATACAAGATTAATGCAGATATACAAAATACTGCTCCCTGAATCCAGGCAGACTAAAAGGTGGGAAATGAACATATAAACAATTGCTTTCTGAAAACATGGCTCCTCTCGTCATTAAAACAACAGTGGTTTAGTAGTACAACATCCTTTTATACACCTGAATAATTAACACAGAGAAAACAAGAGACAATCTTCAGATCCTTGGCATTTTCCATTTTATGGTGGGAGACATTTTTTGCTCTCTGTTTTTGAATATGTTTAAGTCATCAAACTGTGAAACAGTGGCATAAGTAGCACTTAACGTGGTACTGTAATTGGGCTGGGTTAACTGTAAGACCTTTAAATGGAGGAGGGAAGGAAATCTGGGGTTGGTGCACCCAGACTGTAGACAGAGAGGATTTCTCTTGTGGTCGATTCTTTTAACATTCAACAAAATCCGTCAGTGCCCAACAGTAACAAATGAAGCGTAAAGGGACGATTGAAGAATGATAGAAACTATATTGAACTTCAAAACCACTCCATAACGAAAGAAGGAAGACATCGCCGAAGTACTGAATTGATTGATATGTTGTGTCACATGTCCCAAGGGAACAGTAATTACCTGAACATATCTCTGTGGCCCTTCACATTCCAGTTGTATTCTCCCTTATGAACAAGTTCAAAGAAAGTGGTCCGGTTCCTAAAAGAGAATGAATAATAGTTAACATTTTCTTTACAGGAACAACTCGCTTTTGAAAGTGATTCCCATACACTGTGAATTTTATACGGCTATAATGGCTATTGTGTTTGCTTTGTTACAGACGGATGGCTGTGTAAATATACATGGAACAAAATGATAAACAAGTAAATATGGGTCTTTTTTCTCGCGTGAACCAGCTACAGCAAATTTATTGGATAAGCGCATAAATGATCCCCCGAAATGACCAGCATCTACATAAATAATAAGGTTTTTGCATGAGATTCAAGGAAATTCTCACAAAAACTTATGCCGACTTATGAAAGCAAATACAAAAGCAAACAAGTTAATGAACATATTCAAGTTCCACTCCAAAAGCCGCTATAAAAATGTGGAAATAAGTTATTGTGGAACAGAGATGGGGGCAGTTAAGGTAATCTGCTTGATAGCTAGTAACTCACTACTTTCCTTTGATCTCATTAAGACTATGTACAAACCAATGATATGGCTGAATATGACATTGACCTAAAGGCAAATCTCATGGAATGCATGAAGCTTCAATTTAAATTTCTTCTAAAACCTGAAATTATTATAAAAAGATGCTTGGGTGACCTCAGATTTCACTCATTTGCTCAACTTGGCTTTCTAAGTGGAGGAACGTTCTGTGTTCACTATTTGTTGTAAATCTGCAAATTAAGCTTGAGGATTTTGCACAGGTTTAAGGGAGTATGAAAACTGGGTCACCTTAAGTGCCTTTAACTAATTGGTATATAGTTCTAATCACCCATGATTTATGTCTGAAAGCAACTGAAGGGTACACTGTTGTGAAAAAACACAAAAAAAACAGGCAGAATACATCAGCAATTCAGGCTTTATTCACTATATTCACTGATGACGGGCACAATCTCTCTCATGAACGTCTCTGTAAAAAATATTTGAAGACGCCAAACCCACAGTAAACTATGCCAGAATGCAAGTGGGCCATACACAAGGTGAATATATAAACACCTCATTAGTTCCGTCATTTGAGAAAAGTAAACATTACCATAACAATAAAGCTTTATTATATGCAAAATCCAGAGTTATTAAAGTATATGTAACTTTTAGTAAGAATAATGGAAGATGGAGTAAAAGACAACATACTGTACGGTAAGCCAAACCAATCAGTTCAATGTTGTCAGGGCATTTTGTAGTTTAAAGATGTTAAGCAAAGCATCTTCCACAAGATGGCAGTATAAACTACACAATTGGAAAACCTGAACAGTGAAGAAATAAAGACTGATTCGAAACTGAATAGGTAGTAGTGTTGATATTATGTGATGGTAAAACTAAAGCAGTAATAGATTCCTTTGTACTGCCCAAAGTTCAAATTACTGATATTAAAGACTCTGCATTTCCTTCCTTTTTTACAACAATAATGTAGACAAAGTGTGCAGCTGCATGATACATATTGCATTTCAAAATCTCTGGATACCTTCTTTTCAGTAGACCCTTCTTTGCTTTGGTAAACAAAAATATTAAACATACAGTACATTTCAATTTTATCAGTGACTGAATATCTGTAAGTTGATTTATAGTACACCGTAGGAATTGGACACAAAATCCTTCTTAAGTCACTCGTGCATACTGAAGAATACATTCAATATCATATTGATTATGCTATGCAAATAGCTGAGGAAAAGGAAGTCTGAACATACTCAAAGTAGAGGGTTAGGTCTGTCGCCAGTATTGACTGCTTCAGAAGCTGCATAAGGTCACTATACTCTCTGGAGGACAAGTTTGAAAAGATATTGTGGCCCTGTAAAGAAAAGAGAGGAAACCTGCTTCAACTGAAATACTAACACGATATTTAGAAGAATGAAACTGACCCAGTCACAAAACACATCTGCAGCTTTTCTTTAAAAGTTCCCATGGTCTTCCTATACCTTTCAATCAAATTAATTAGTAATTATACATTTGCACAAGAAAATAATGAGAAAGTGTGTCTTAAATTGACTTACATACAGATTTGTATGGCCTTTAGATTCTACCGCCAATTGCCTGCACAACTGACTACTGACTTCCTCATTTATCTGGGTGATCCTTTTAACCAGCGAAACTTATTTATACAGGTTAGTATTATGTTTTTGCACCACATATTCTTAAATGTTATTTTTATTGGGGAAAAAAAAACAAAGATGAAGATTAACCTGGCCCAACTTGTGGACTCTGAACATAAAACAAGGCTGCCTGCAAGATAAGGCAGACCTGTTTCATATTGATTCCAGCACATTTCACAATTTTGTCTCACAGCATGAGTTTCAAAGTGCTTATATTTGTTCTGCCATAAGCGTTTTTCCACAAATCACCACAAGCAGCACTAAAATCAGAAGTTTCTGGAAAAGCATATAAAATCACGTTGCCCTCAATGCATTGCAAAGCACCGAAGATGACAAAACTTAAAAACTAAAGTACTGTGCAGATTAATTAATGTATTTTTAACCTCTTTCAGACTTTTGTGTCAGAAATGATTAATGGTGTCACAGCCTAAATCCATGGAATAAAAAATAGCTCATCTAATGTTTGTCTAGGATTACTTTGTTAAATAGTTTCATAATGCATAATATTATGATATCAAAGTGACAGACTGAGTAGATAATTAAGCCACATGTCCATTAAATAGCACCAGAGACCAGAATGATTTGATCAATGTTCAAAATCATTACTCATCAGAAGAGATAAGCTTTGCAGGTGTGTCTATAAATGTGGATCTACAGCCCCAGCTCTTTGGGATTGGTATCACTAAATATTGTTTATAAAGACAGTCAGGTATTGTTGTATGAAAAGAAATGCTAGATATTTTTACTTCCACAATAATCTTAATTTGCAATGGAGGTTTGAGCATAATGATGCATAATTATTAAATGTTTTAATTAAAGACTTAGTCATTAAATTACTAGTAATGATGGTCAAGATAATTGTCAACATTTATTGTGTCATCAAAAAATGATGGTATTCTGACCAACTGGACATCTCTCAATTTACAATATTCTTATAGACAGGAAAAGAAACTTAATGGATCCTTTGCTCCAAATCCCTGTTTCAGTCTGAAATGAAGTCTTTCAAAAAAGCATACTTTTGGATATATCTTTTTAAGCATTCATTAGCAACAGAAATGAATCTGCAGTTCTATAACTCTAAAGTCACTGGAAATGGTACATACTGCATAATCTTTCCTACTGCCCATTTTTTCAGTATACAAAAATTAGATACAGGAAAACAATGGTACATGTACTGTATAATATAACTCATTGCCAGCAGACTAAAAAAGGCCTAAAGGAGCTTCAGCAGGGTAGACCTATCTAATTACAGTAAAGTACATTTCAGAGGGCTTCTGCTGGTACGTAATGTTCTGGGACAAATTTCTGACTGCACTATCAGTGAGTCTGAGTCCACTTTGACAGTAAAACCGTGTGAAATGTCAGTAAGCTTAAACACCACTTGGAAAAACAACTACAAAATCTACTGCTAATCAAGGTAAATTTTTCATGTATGACCAAGTCAAGAAGGTCTTGGTGTACTAAGCATGCTTCTTCAGTTTGTATAGACTGATGTTGTTTATATTAATGTCCACAAGAGGGCAGGGTATCTAGACGCATGGATATACAACATACTGTACATGTTAACCCTGGTCAGTATGTGACATTTTTTATTTGTTACATCAACAAGACCATTTATACAAAACGAAGACAGAGCATACACAGTGAAAAAGTGTCATGGTCAAATGTCATTTTTGAAGTGAAAAGAGAAACAAAAATACTGTAACCTGGCTTAAAAGTTGCATGTCTTAAGTGTTAAATACAATCTGTTCTAATCTAGACAGACATGTCTGTGATCCAATTAGTTTTAAAGTACAAGAGCCTTAAACAATGGCAAAAAATGAGTACTTGGTTGTACAATTTAGCTTTGCCTTTGATTTATTCCTGCCAACAGCTTATTGACTGCTGTTCATTTAGTCAAAAAAAAAACATTGATGTTTTTATCAAGATGAGAGCTAATATGGAAATCTTTACAGTATTGTTTTTCTATACAATATGCACATTTGTGTGTATTGTTGTTGACCTAAAAATCACTGTTGAGAACAATTTATCAAGTTGGGATTGATGAATTCAAGTTTCTGCCTCCCAGTTTGATAGATGATTTCCAGGTTATATTTGCACAGCTCAATATTGGTATACTGGGTCACAAAAGAGCTTTGATCATTTTGATAAAGCAATGAAATCAATAACCAGAATGGACTGTGCCTTCATTCCCTATCTTGCTCTCTACATGAAAGGCATTGTTTGTATGCTGCGTACATTACTTGTCCTAACTAACAGCTTTCCAATACATTTCACAGACATCGCAAAAATCAGTTGATATGTAATCACTCTGCTTTAATGTTGTACATATTCAAACAACGGAAGTTCTTAACTAAAGTTTGGGAGGGATAATAATGACAAGTCACACTCACACAGCTGCACCTACTCACAATCGCCACCAAACAAGCTCTATCAACTGAACTCAATCAGCTCCCTTTTGCATTTGTCTCAAGAATCCCTCCTCCACCTCATCTCCACCTTGTACCTGCTCTGGTGTAACATATTACTGTATATATTCATCCATTTTCTATGAGTAAGTCACCTATTCTTGGTAAGGGTCATGCCAACTTGGAGCTATCTCTGAAACATCACCCTGGGTGATTTAAAGATGTTGATTAACCTAAGCAGCATATATTTGGTAGGTGGGAAGACAATGGACCACCCACAGAAAACCTATGAGAACATGGGGATGCATACTCCACAGAGACAAATCTAGAATCAAACTCTGACAGGGTGGTAGATGCATTAACCCCCACAACACCTCTGCGACAGACTACAGAATTATTGTTGGGCGATCTTCATATCCATTTTTCACCTAAGTAAGCTAAAACTACCAACGTGGAGCAGCACCCACAACACGGAACTACTTACAGAGCTACATTCTCTTTGACCAGGCTGGGTCAATTCTACCATGTGAATCGGCCATATTCTGGATATACTTAAACATCACGGAATGTCCTCTGTCATTTACAGCACTTGAAGAAGGGTCTGAAGTAAGATCAGAGACCACAATAATGAACGCAGAAACAGTATGAATCAATGTATACATTATTTTTTATATTTTCCCCATTTCTTCACCTCATTTTACTTTTGTCCCTGTGGGAAATCTCGGATATATCAGCAAGATCAACCTTTGCTCACTCTGGCCAGGGCTGCAGGTAGTGGAAATTGCACAGTAGCGAGCCACAAGGAAGACTGCTAGCCTACTGTACCTCACTCTGGAGAATCATGACGGCGTGATTGAAATGGTGGTGCTCCAGAGTGGCAGAGGTGCCGTACAGCTGAGCCAACGCTGAGCCCGTCCTGATGAAGGAAGAAGAACCACATTGATTTGTTATAGTTGGGTGCCTAACCCTTCTTGTAAAACCTGATCAAATAAATCTACTAAATAGAAATAACATTTGTTTATATACCACCTTTCCAAACCTAGGGAAGCTGTACGTAGTGATTAAAGAACAAGACAAAAAAGAACAATAAACGGTAAGAGGGAAAAAAAAACACGTATCCCCACGAATGCCGTTTCTGCGATTTGGTGTGAAGTTTTTTGATCCAAGCCTCGTTTTGTTTTGCGTCTACTGTTATTTAGTACCCCACTTAGCACTTCCACATGTAAAAGCTTTGTAACGCCATTGTGTTTCTATATACCTGCGAGCAACTCTGAATAAACGGATTTGCAGAGATTCTCAACATTAGTCACTGTCACCGACATATAGGTGTGCTAAGTAAATTACTTGGATCAAAGGAGTGATTTAAAACTAGATTCTGTAATCAATCTTTAAAAATTTAATGTACTGATTCCAGCAACTTAACACAATCAATGTAACAAAAAAACACAATAGATGAAGTTTGTACCTATGTAGCAGCTTCATAAAGCAACTGTATGGTAGAAAACTATTGCAGCTAGCTGTTAAGTACCTCATTCTTAACTGTGTGATAGCTATCAGTGTAATACCTTTGGTCTTTCCATGGTAAATACAGCTTTTTAGACTGTTAAGTTTCATTAAGAGTGTGCTTTCAATATTAGACCATGTAATGAAGAAAAACATACATGATGAAGCTAAAATACTTATTTTAATAGGTTATTTTGGATATTGAAAAACAGCTTCTGAATTCTTGTGATATGGTGTAGCATTCCTTGACCAAACGCAAGACAAAAGTTCTTTATGAGATCAAAGAGAATCTTTCACTTTAAAGTGATTTGTGTTGCCGTAACTCTGAGATTCTAGCATTGTCTTATACATTTATGAGAACACTTCACTTAAGTATTTTATTTAAGATGCACAAAGGACACTTAAGGCAACACAACTTAAGTCATGCTGTAAATTAATTCGTGTTCTACTAGCTCAGTACTGTACCAATATCAAAAAGAAAAAAAATGTTATACAATCAAGTGCACTGCAGCAGAATGTGGTTATTAACCTAACTTTATTTCTGTACAACAAACAAATAATGAACTTACTTTGCTTGGAAGGCATTGTTTGTTCCGCGATGATCAAGATCATGACATAAACAGCCCACTATGAGCGCTAGAATTTCCACTTCTGTCAAGGTTTCCTGAAATCCTGCAGTCTGGAAATGAATACAATAATTTAGTGCAAGGTTCTAGACTTTGTTACAGCGAGCATTACAGAGTTGTAAAGGATTTTAAATTAAACGCAGATGCATCTTAAAAGTAAAACAAAACTGAAGCGGTTTTGACTGCTTTTCAAGTACAGGATGTTCCATTGATATACCATTTTCTAGTAAAGCAATGTTTCAGTAACATTGTTTTGGGATTGACATTAACAGCAAAGGAAGCAGGCATTAGCATTATTTGTATCTTCAGCAACATTAACATATCACTTACAAAAATGCAACTTTTACGAAATAATATAGCAAAATAGTTTGGCAGGTTTTTATAGAATGGATATTAGCTGTAGAAAATATAGAAAAATGCATCATTTGGCTTCAAAAATGTAATCGCTGATATCTGGAAGAATTGTGGTAAGGAACATATGGAGGCTTAATGCCAAGTACACTTACTGAGCCTTTACAAAAATAAAAATATTACCTTGCCTACAAGTACACTTATAAAAGCTACAATCTAACAAAATAGAAATCTTAATCTTACTGCAATTATGAGACATGGTATTGCAACAAGTCTGTAAACAGATGTACAGTATGTTTATTAGGGAGAAACATCTCCTGTTCTATGGTTTGAAAGGCTACTATAGTTAAAATGAATAAAACCACAAGAGGGCAGCAAAGCGTCATGGCAATGGTTAAGCTCTTATTAATAAAAAAATATAGAGTTACAGTTTATGCATAATAAAATTGCATTGCCCCATAATTATGATTACTGTGTTTGAAGGCAAATGGCTAAACAGATTTTCAGCAATAGTTCAGTTACACACATTTTGGAATTGTGAAGCTTATTATGCGTGAATAGCTTCATTATTGGGATTTACTCTTAACACAGTTTTCCAACTCACTCAAAGTTACATTGCACTCTATTGTACTAACCTATGCAGGTTCAAAGTTGTTTTCTTTAAAAAATTACACTGTCAAATGAAATTTAATATTTACACTGATTCGAACAGTTTAAATATAGGAATATGAGGACGAAATTGTCCATCTTGATTTACACAGTTATTGCACCAGAATGATACCAGCAGTATCACATGTGGAGATAAGTGGCCAATCAAGTTTTGAACAGTAGCAGTCTGCAGTATGGTCTGTACCTGATAATCAGGTGTAATATGACAATTTATGGCATTAAATCTTAAGGTACAAATCTAAAACATGTTGATGGCGATGATATCTGGAAAGTTTCACTTCTACACGTTGCAGCAGTTCCCAAGAGGAACATCTTGAATGATCTCTAAATTATGTGGTTCCAGTTGTCATATCTGTTAATGTGAGACTCCAGTTTTGATCAAATATTTAATGGCTTATCTGATGCGGGATAACAGCCAAGACTGAAATTGCTTGACTTTCTAGTCTTTCACAAGGTCCAGTTTGATATTGGGGTGAAAACAACAGAAAACTGTAAGCAGTTTTGTAGACTTACATGAAAGTTCCAATGTCATGAAATACTATAGTAAAGCAACTTGGCAGTAACATCACTAAATTGAATAGACACTGAACAGATGTTATTAAGAAATAATATACAGTAAACTACTTCTTGTTCTTTCACTACTGTGAAATCAATGTCACACCTTTAAAAGATTTGTAATGCAATATTGTAGTTAAGTTTATACATCATTTTCTTGATTAAATTAGTAGTGTAGGTCTCCACCAGTGAATTCATTGTTTGACCGTGATCAGTTTAAATGTTCAGGATAAAATGGAAATCAAAAGCAATGGTCAGGCAGCAATCCTAGTTAACACAGGGGCTCAACTGTTAAAAAGTGTATACTATCGTGCCAGCAATGGTGCCAAATCACATTTTTAATATGCAAACTGCTTTGAACAGGAGCAATCTGAAGTTTGATCTCCATATGTAATTGTATTGTCACTAGAATTATGCATGTCAAGAACAATGGATTCAGAGTCTAAAGAAAAAGAATGGTCAAATCATAATTATAAAGACTCCATAAAATTAAGTTCAAGCCCAGGACAATATGGTCTTGTTAGTTTAATAGAGAAATTAAGAACAAACATCAGAAGGAGTGATTTACTGCACAAAATGTACTATATACTTTACCAAGTATATCAAATTGCAGGTACAGCTCAAAACAGATTAAAATTATGATGAGAAAATGCTGATGTAAATGACTTGTGACATTTTCCGTAATTCCTCTGGTTAGCATTTAACTTTCTCAACATACACGTAACCCTATATGGCCTTGAGGATCTTCAGATACACCTTTTGTGTGAGTTTTCCATCAGCCTCATTACGTCCCAGGTAGATTTTTGCTACGCTGGTTGTATGCCTGGGGGCATTGAATCATTGAAAAGTGATATCTTGCCGTGAGATGTGTTCTTCAGGAGATGGTTTGTCGGTCAGAATGTAAACATTGCAGTTATATACTGCATTCAGGTTATCCTGAGTTTTCTGAAAGCTCTGACACCCGAGAGAAAGCCATATATTTATATTGATCCATTTTAATGCTTTATTGTATCTGTTGTTAGTACCAATAATACCAATAACAACATTGTAATGGTGTTACACCACTCTCCACCCTGCTTTCAAACAAACTCCAGCTGATAAGTGCCCCACAACTCAAACTGTCACTGTTTCAGTTCACTCTTTGTTTTGTTGCCTGCCTCTTATTAGAGAGAGAGTGTCTTTATTTTCCCCATGGGAGGGGGCAAGTTGTTTTACAGCAGCAGTGTTGGTGTACAGACAGAAGGAAAGGAACCACAATATACACATATTTACTTTGAAGGTCAAGTGTTAAGGATATGGCTACAGGTAGGAATGAGAACCAATGACCTTCTGACATATTTTCACAAGTCTGCCTGGTTTGTTCTTGCTTCTCAGATTCAGGTTACCAAACCAGCATATTAGGGTGAAAGTAAGAACAGATTCAAGGCTGTTCTAAGCGCTTAAAATACTTAAGCTTCCTTAAGAAAAAGCAAAGGTTTCCAAGCAGCTGTATGCCAATTGAGACCATTTAGTGATAATTACAGTACATGCTGTATGTTATGTATGTTACTGTTCTTGAAGGAATGCTAAATTACATTGTGGTGCAATGGATAGCATTGTTTCCTTGCATTACTGGGGCCTTGGGTTCAATTCCAGGCCTTAGGATGCTATCTGCATGGAGTTTATACAATCTGTTTTGCCCATTTTCAGGATCCTCTTGGTGCACCAGTCTCCTCCCACAGTCCAAAAACATACTGGTAGTTTAATTGGCTTCTGAGAAAATTGGCCCTGGTATGAGTGTGTGCATTTGTGTGTTTGCGCCTGTCTGCTCTGTGATGGAGTTCTGTCCGGGTTGTACCCTGCCTTGTGCCTGTTGCTTGCTGGGATACGTTCTGGCTCCCCCGAGACCGTGCATTAGAAGAAGCTGTTAGAAAATGTATGGATGCTACATTGTGGGTTCTTGGTCACTCTTAACATTTCTGCTTGATAGAGTAGGTGACTATCACATAAAGAATATTCACTGTTAAACGTTAGTGAATTACTTCACTCACTGTATACTGACACTGATTTCACAATTCCTTTGTAATGAACTCTAATTTTCAAGTTTAAAATGAAATCCCTGCCTGTACAAATTGGTTATACTGGTTTGGCAGGTAATAGTCTGATAATCAGTCTAATTAGGCCACATTACTAAATATATTATTCTGTCATGTGGACTGTGCATTATTTACCACATGATCTTCTACAGTATTTCAAAATAATGTCCAAAACGCCATCTGCAGAGCAGAATTAGCATCTTGAAGCAGCATTAATAGGAGTAATTGATATTGGCAAAAAAGTTCCAATCTTGTTTTTCCTCCAAAATACCAGTATTGCACAACATAATTGATGTTAGAGAACAAGTGACTAATTTATTTTTACACAACCCATGAAAAAGCTTGATGATTCAACTGTAATGCTTATTCTGTACATTACATTTATTATTTTTAGGTTATGATGTACTGTATCCTTACAGTAGCTTCACTGAATTACATGATGGTATTGCCCTATGTAGCCTAGTTACACTTATCTGTGACATGTAATCATTCAGTACAAACTGTGATTATTTAAATTCATCTTGGATAAAGGTGTCAGTTCACTGTGGAATGTAGTCATTATAGGAATACTAAGTATATTTAAGTGAATAGATTTAGTGAAAATCCCTCAAATTATTTTTTATATTTATCTGCTGTTTCTTGTGACACTTGATATCTACCCATTACAGACTAGACTAACGCTGTTCCAAAACTTTTGACTTAGAGTTCCACCTACAGGCCAACCTGCAACCATGATTTTATATCAACAATGGCAGCCTGCAGACAGGTAAGTAATCCCTTTACTGTAGTGTGCCAAAAGAACAATTAATCATTTGGATAAGCCATACAATTGGGAAGCTCCAGTATATAAGCATGAATCACGGCAGAGAAATAGATTGTGACAGTGCCTTTATTTTAAAATATCATCTTGGTAAAAATAAATTGGTTCTAATAGCTTACTCTCTGCAGTGTTCTTACCTTGTTACCAATAAATCTGTTTAGATACTAATCCTTATATAGATGCTTTGTGTGATTAAATGTGGAACACTTAAGCATGCATTAGAAGCAGCCCCAAGAGCCTCTTCAAAGACATAAGATGCTATATCTCTACAGGATTATCCTCAAGAGTGCCCAAACAAATGTGACTAATTGTTAGATTTCATGGGACCAATTGAATCATATTTGCGCTGAAAGGTTTGAGGAACTTTTCACTGATAATATTTAACAGATGATGCCCTTAAGAAAAAAATACCATACACTACTGTATTTTGCATAAATATGTAGGAAGCAGCAGATTGAAAATTCTAGATGTGAAGTACTCTACCATTTTATGTACTGTAGGTAGAACAAACAACAAGTGTGAGGCATGAACAGAGGCACGATTGATACAATGAAACAAAATGATTTTGAAATGAGAAATAGACAGTATATTCACATTTCTCTGAAACGTCTGTCCATTTTCTAACTGCTATAAGCAATAAAGGGTCATGGAGGATCAAAATATTATCCCAGCATGCAACAGGCTCCAGGTATGATACTCTGGGTGGGACTTCAATCCATCACAGGGGCACACAAATACGCACACTCACACCAGAGCCAATTTTCCCAGAAGCTGACTGACCTACCAGTATGTCTTAGGATCGTGGAAGGAAACCAGGGCACCCAGAGAAAACCCATGTGAACACTTTAAGGACAGTAAAACTCCACAGAGGTGGCACACCAGGTCCAGATTTTAACCCAAGGCCAATGGCGTGAGGCAGCAATGCTAACCACTGTGCTACTGCGCCGCCGTTCTGCCTTGCTCTGAAACATTTTGAAATGCAGGACATATTTACCAGTTCCCTTCACAATGTGCCTGTTAGGATACATTTTGCTGAACTTACTGTTAACATCGCGAACATGCACTGGCAGACATTGAACGCATGTCGCCAGTTGTGGTACAACACCATGCGATAATTCTTCCTCACTGTCAACAGCCACCTACACAGCGTCTGAAAGTGAAAAAAGCAAAAGTGAGTCGAGCTTCATCTGTGAATACTGACAGCCTGCCCTTATCAGACTGTTTGATGTTTTACCTCGTAATCTATTTTGAATTTCTGCACCATTCCCAATTCCATGAACATGCGCAGGGCAGCAGTTATCATGGCGTCCACGTCCAAGGAGAAGTCATCAAAGGACAGTTTATCAATACCAAGTTCACAAACAAGAGGGATGTTTGCAGCCTGTGAATAAAGACGAGACAGAAGAAGAGAGAAAAGTAGGGAGAGAATTCTCAGTACTATACTTAAATAATTCAAAGGTAAGGTTTTTGCTTGGACTGTTTCATCTCGTTTCCTCACAGAAAAAAAATCCTCATGAACTGTCTTTGCCCTCCAGGCTCTCCCTGAGAGATCAAAGCTCCTTTTCCATGAGGCCTACAGTGAGATTGTGTTGTGCTGGCTGGCTTAACTAGGTAGGATCATTTATTCGAGTCCACCCACAGATAAAAAGATTAAAATAAAACAATAACAGACAGTTATTCAACTAGGCAATTAGTTAACATAATGCATATCTAGGAACACACATTACAAGAGGAGTAGAAAATTGCAAACTTGTTATCTTTTAAAAAATATAAACTCCTTCTCCATGTTTTACTAAGAAAATATTGTGCTGCTTTCTGTCTGTACTGTGCAAACCTTTAAATAAAGAAAACAGGAGATCCCAGTATTTACTGAGCATCCCAAATGAATCAGCTGGTACAAATGCTCAACTGTAGGACTCATGACTTGAGCCTGGGTCATGTCATAAGCTGATGGTAGTGATACTGTATGACCCAACCTCAACCTTTTATTGTTAATTCACTCAGGATGCACAGTAAATATGAATCCCCTATTTCCTATATTTAATGTTTTTCACAGTTAGAGACAGTGCCTAGTCAGTACTATAGAGAATAAAGAACAGCTAGAGGTTTATTCCATACTGAAAAGAAAATAGATAAAATGTTTCAGCTGTGAAGCCTTTTTTCAGGTTTGAGGGACAGAAGGAACCTGGCACTTAATGAAGCATGGATGAACAAAAGACAGGATAGGAGAACTGGAACAAAGGTATGAAGTCAAAATCTGCACATGAATAGAGAGGATTAGAAGGAGACGAGTCTGCCTTTAAGAAAAGGGGGAAAAGGGGTGATCCTTGTTTCAGGATAATTTTGGTTTCAGATGTCTGTCTGCAATAGGAGTTCTGAAGCCCGTCAGTGAGGACGCAGGCGGAGAGATCAGTATGATTATGGCCGTTAGTGGTGAAATGAGAAACTATGGGTTTGGAGAGATCTTTGATCCTCACAGCTGTGACATGTGTCCTGAAACAGTTTCCCAGTTTCCTTCCTGTCTCACCATAGCTGGGCATTTTCTGCAAGAGAATAAGTACTATGGAATAAGTAAGCTAGGGCTCTCTTAGCTCTGCGACAGTGTCCCCTGTGGCCTCCTGGGTGATTGCAGGTATGCGGCTCTCCGACACGCCTCTCCTCAAATTAGTTTTCAATCTCTGATACAGGGCTGTGTTGCCTGTGACGCATGTCTGAAGAACATCCGACTCATAGGTAGGAGGGCTATTCCAAATCGGCTGGGAGTATCAAAAATAAATGAGAAGTCTAAATGAATAAGAAGAATAAAGAGAACCGTCTGTCTAGAGTTATCTCTTTTATTTCCATTTAACGAGTTTACCATGGAAAATTTACCATGATAGCATTTTGGGATTGATTGTACTTTGCTTAGGCTCTTGTTCCTCTGCGACCCCTATATCAGATAAAGCAGGTACAGAATGGAATGATGGATGCATTTTGTTTATACTATGCATTTTGTTAGTGTTCCATTGTTTGAATCTTGGTTTACAATCCCACTTTGCTATGATTTACTACAGTCTACTGTATTAACCAAGTGAAATAATTACCTTTACAAACTGCAGTGAAGGAACTTTAGAGCAGAAAGCACAAACGTTGGGCTTTTTTCCAGTAATATTGCAGCAGAACTAGTGAAGACAATTAGCTAGAACTTTGACAGGGGTTAATTGGGTTCATGCATATTTGAGGGAGAGATCCAACAAATTGATCTGCAAAGCTTTGTTCCTCAGCCATCAGTAGGATCAGAATATATCAAACATATTCACAGGGGAACAAACCATGGAATAAAAATGTTGTTAATAGATATCTGACTATCTCTGTTTGATTCAGTTGGAGAAACTATTGTCAAAACTAAGTTAAATTGGTACATAAGATAAGATCACTTTATTAGCCATTATACCATTTCTTGCATTAGGAATTCATCTTATTGCATACCCCAGCTTGCTCTCCATGAGTCACCCAAGAAGCTTGGGGTCAGAGCACAGGGTCAGCCATTGTACAGCACCCCTGGAGCAGCTGGGGTCAAGGGCCTTGCTCAGGGGCCCAACAGAATAGGATTCCTCTGCCGGCCACAGGATTTGAACCCTTCCAGCCACAGACACAGATCCTTAGCCACAGAGCCACCACTCCGCCCCATGATAATCGATTCACTTAAAACTGCATCTGAAACACAAGTGTGCAGCTGGGTGACTTCTGAGGAGGATCACACTATACATAAGGACTGACTAGAAATATGCCTTTTGTTTTTTATACATTTGGTAATAAAGGCCTTGTTACATTTGGTGCCCACGTGCGGAAATAGGCTTCTATTCTTTCTCTTTAATATTGACAGAGCAAACTGATGAACAGCCAATGGCCACTGTACTCCTGACCTATGAATTTCACTGCACTGAGCACGAGACTCACATGACTGACTTTCTGTCATTAGCATTCACCATTTTTACAGAAAGCTCACAAGGTTCTTCCATCCACACCAAAATTCAAAGCCACCTTGAATCCTGGAGACGGATTTATCTACAAATACAAGTATGAGTTTGTGTCCCTGAAGTTTTATGTACTTCTATAAAACCATGCCCATTATATAGACATACAATTTAAATTCAGTTGTTTGCATTGAGGTTTTCTTCAGGACATGTAAATTTTATTATTTGTCTTATTACTATGCAAAATGGCAGTGTTTACCCAGGTTTACACTATTAATCCTCTCAGCCTTCCATGAATGACTAATCACTGAATCCAATTGAGTGCAGTCATTCTAAGGAAACTAAGAAAACCTTTAGGAAAATCTTGGATTGTTTTAATATTCTCGTCAGAATAGTCACCTTTTAAATCAAAGCTGAAAAGGAAAAAATATTGTGCAATGGCAGATACTTTAAATGTGCATTAAAAGCTGGAACTATAGCATATTTAATCTCCCCTTTAGTACAATAAAGTCTAACAATAATCCTTCAGTGTACTGGCAGCCTTTACTGTAGAAGCCCATTTACTATAATCTCCCTTTAAGACTTCAGTCATGAGCAGTCTTTTATGTGCAGCCAACATAAATACTTTATTTTAAACAGTAATTATTTTAAGAACTCTTCCGTCTGGTCGAGAACCTGCTAATTATTATTTTTTTTAAATAGTTACGATTTCTAGTGGGGTGATTACTTCTTTAAAGGAGAACTGTCAAATGGTTTGTAAATGTGTTTGTGTTGTTTGGGAGATCATTGATAACTGTGACTGACGTCATGAACACTTCATTTTTTTTTCTAACTTTATATATAGCAACCAGAGGATGGCACATTTCTGGTAGAAAGTCACACTGTAGAACATATAACCAGGACTATTCAATATATTTCATGGAAAATAGATATTATAGAATATACATACAGTATAGAACATAGAGATCATCTGAAAGGATTGAGCAGCCAACCTAAACTGTTCTAACCCTTCTTTGAGGTTTCCACCACCAATTAATCTGCAGAAATAAAAATGTATTCTTGTCCTGTTTGGATTGCTACATAATTATTGCTTTAATTAATTTTTATATTGTACCACTAATTCAATATCCTCTGATGTCTGATTCCCAGAGGAGTGTTTCCATGTTATTGGAATATGAAAAGTTTGTGTTAAAGCCCCAGCATCACGGTGCTGCAGTAGTTAGAGTTGCTATCCCACAGTGCTGGGCCTCTGGGACCAATTCCAGAGCTAGGGAACTATCTGTGTGGAGTTTGTATGTTCCCACTGTGTTCACGTGGGTTTCCTCCCATTGTCCAATGATATATGGGTGGGTGAAATGGCATCTGGGAAAAACTGGACTTGATGTGAATGTGCGTACAGTATACTCTAGCTCCCCCACAACCCCACAATGGATTAAGCAGTTATAAACTAAATGGATGGGCTGAACCCTATTTCAGACTGCAATCAGAGTTATGTTATCCAGCAGCCCATCTCTTCTTAATGTTTGCCAAATCTGAGTTTATACCTGTGTTGTAACACTTATCCACTGAGAAAAGACAATCCCCACAAGCCAAAAAGGTAGTGCAAACTAAACTTTGGTTCTATTCGCATTCTTGGCAACCAGAACAACTGTAAAATGTTAAACAAATTAAGAGCCAAAGGAGACACTTTTATCAGTAGTCTCTCACAAAACAAACCCCCTGTGGTCTGATTGACAATCCTGAACTGGCTACTAATACTTAAGGCTAAATTCTACTGGGTTTAATCAGAAATGTGTGTTTTAACTTAAGTGTTAGTTTTTTTTTCTGCTCTGGATAATTCACCACCTCAAAAGAGTATTTACAAATAAAACTAATGCATGAGAATAGGAATTAAATGTCTGGAGGCAAGGAGACAATCAGGAGTACTATCATATGTACAATACTTTGCAAAGATCGCCTACTAAAGTGTGTTAATCCTTATTTACTAATGCATCTGTAGCTTGAAAAACAAAAAAAAGCATCTGTACCTTGATGAGCTTGCAATGAATCTCTTTTACATATTGTTCTAGTTGTGAATAATTTCTTCCAGTTGTAATAACGTTTTTTTTGGTAGATTTGATTCAATTTTAGTTTGGCAAGCTCTTCGCACCTACCTACTCTATACTGTCTATGATAGCAACAAAAAGGTGCCCCAAGTGCTGGTGGAATAAAACAAGAAAAAAAGCTTTGCTGATGTCATCTAGTCTAAATATCAACCAGCAATGAGTGCGTAACTCAGTGCCTCTGGTTCCAAACAAAACCTCAATAGAAGTTATACATGAGCAATCTGTCAAAACCCTTTTATACCCCCGGGACAGAGGCAGCACAGTACTCAAGAGAAGTGATAAATGATTTGGAAAATAAACTCATAAATCAAAATGGATAT